AATTAATGTTTAAGCAAATAAAAAAAAACAAAATAAAATATACAATATTCCGTTACAAAAAACAATGATATAACTACAAATATACACGGATGGAAATATTAGTTTACATTTAAAACAAAATCTTTTAATTTACTTTTTTGGTCCTCGCTTCTTTACCATTATCCTTATCTATACGAGCACTTCCCACGTCATCACTCTCCTGAAAATGTGTTTCCGTATCCACTAGTGTAACATTTATCATCTGATCAACGTGCCTAATGTACGTAATACCTTCNCGCCCTATCTTGTTTCTCACACACCACTTCCTGATCCGTTTTGTAAAGTAAATCTAGCCTACAACGTAGTTTCCTGCCCAACATTAAAAATGACGGCGATTCACCCGTAGTAGAATGTGGCGCAATTCTATAACCTAAAAGAAATTTGTTTAATATAACTTAAGCGAATTTTTATTTTTTTTATCCGCTAATGCTGCCGATAATGCGCGTTTGGTAGTTTTCACTGCATTTTCAGCCGCACCGTTTGTAGCAGGGTGTCCCGGGGCTGTACGCAAATGTACTATTCCATTACTTTTTAAAAACGTAGTAAACTCGTGAGACGTTAATTGAGCGCCGTTATCCGACACTAATGTTAAAGGTAACCCCCATCTACTAAATATCTCGCGTAATTCGATAATAGTATTGCTCGCCGTAATACTTCTCATCTCTTTCACCTCTAACCACTTTGAGAACGCGTCTAAAACTACCAAAAAGTAACTATTATGGAATGGCCCGAAAAAGTCTATATGAACTCTCTGCCAAACACTACTCGGTCTATTCCAAGGTATTAACTCAGACTTCCTAGGGTTTTGTCTTAGCTGCATACAAAAATCACACGATTCAACTAAATTTTCTATCTGAGCATCAATCTTGGGCCACCAAACATACGATCTCGCGACTGCCTTCATTTTGACAACACCCAAATGCGTACTATGCAACTCGTCTAAAATTTGTTTACGCGATTTACTCGGTATTACGACTCTGTAACCTAACATTAAACAACCTTGCTCTACCGATAAATCGGTATGTCTGTCCTTGTATGGTTTTAAATCATCATTAATCGATTTTGGCCACCCATGAGTCACATAATAATAAACTTTACTGATAGTCTTATCTCTGTTAGTTGCAATTTAATTGTGTTACGATTTATCGGAAAATATTCGGATTCTATAAATGTCATATACGTACTTTGCGATTCGCTATCGACCGCAACGACGTCTCCTTCAATTGGTAATCTCGAAAGTAAATCCGACGTGAAATTATCGTTCCCTTTAATATACTCGAGTTTATATTGAAATCCAGCCAAAAAAATTGCCCACCTCTGAAATCTCGCAGATGTTATAGTTGGAATATTTTTATTTTCTCCCAAAATCCCTATGAGAGGTTTGTGATCAGTTCTAATTGTGAAAACTTGGTTTTGTAGGTATTGGAATAATTTCCTAACCGACCAAAAAATAGCTAAAGCCTCTTTATCTGTAACCGAATAATTATTTTCTGCTGGCATAAATGTTCTCGAAATAAAACTTATCGGTCGTTCTTCACCGTCCGGCATTTTATGCGATAAACAACCCGCGATACCATCGTTAGGCGCATCAGTCGTTAAAATAATTGGAAAACTTGGGTTAAAATGCACTAAAACTTTATCTGAAATGACCAATTCCTTAATTGTATCGAATGCTATCTGACAATCCGGAGTCCAACAGAAATGTTTGTTTTTCGTTAGTAAATTATAAATAAGTTTCATAATAATCGAAACGTTCGGTAAGAATTTAGAATAATAATTTACCATACCCGCGAAAGATTTAACTTGCGTTGTGTTGCGCGGTTTTGGCGCGTCTGCGATCGCTCTAACTTTATTTTCGCATTTATGCAAACCCACCGCCGAAATGATATGACCTAAATACTCAATTTCACTTTTAAAAAATTCACGTTTAGACAATTTACCTTTTAAACCCGCCTCATTTAAAATGTTAAATACTTTGTCCAGATTATTCAAATGTTCTACCCTGTCTTGTCCGGTTATTATAATGTCATCCAAAAAATTTGCTATACAATCATAACCTTGGAAAAGTTGCTCTATTAACTTTCGAAAAATTGCACTGGCAGGAGCAACTCCATATGGCAATCTATGTACTTGAAAAAGTCCTTTATGAGTGCTCCATGTTAAAATTTTTGAAGACTCGTCGTCTAACTCTAACTGGTTGTATGCTTCACTCAGATCTATTTTACTAAACTGTTTTTCCTTGCTCACTTTTTGAAATATTTCTTCGATTCTCGGTAATGGATATTTTACCTCTTGAACAAACTTGTTTATCGTAACTTTATAATCCGCGCATATTCTAATTTTACCATCGCTCTTTAGAATCGGTACTAATGGACTATAAATATGATATGTTTGCACGATATTTTGGAACAGTTGAATGGGGTCCATTCAATTACTCCAAAATATCTTAAAAAAACAGACCTGTCAATTTGTGACTGTTGTTCCCAATATGGCATTCCTCGTGATATCAAATTATGGAAAAGAGCAAACGCCAGATTAGCATCTGCGCTAAAGCCTGATTCTTACAGTACAGTAACAGCTGATGGAAAACCAATTGATGAACGAGTGGACAATTGTGTCTCCACAGTTTGACATAAATATAGCTACAAAATGTTTTGCCCAATTTCACAAAAAAAAAATCCCAACGTAAATTGAAAAAAAATTATAATAAACCTATCATAAACTTGCCCTAGTTCTATTGAGGTCTTAACTTAAACAAAGTTATCCTCTTCTTCGTTTATTGGTGTTGTATCAACAATGACTTAAACTTAAGGACTAAGTTTTTTGTCCAGATGCTAAACTGGCTTTTGCTCTGTTATGTTTTTTGCCGTCACGAGGGAACTGCGGAAAACAGTCCAAAATCGATATGTTTGCACGATCTTTTGGAACAGTTGAATGGGGTCCATTCAATTACTCCAAAAGATCTTAGAGATTACAGACCTGTCAATTTGCGACTGTTGTTCCCAATATCGCATTCCTCGTGATATCAAATTATGGAACAGAGCAAACGCCAGTTTAGCATCTGCGCTAAAGCTTAATTCTTACAGTACAGTAACAGCTGATAGAAAACCAATTGATGAAAGAGTGGAGAATTATGTCTCCACAGTTTGACAAAAATATAGCTACCAAATGTTTTGCCCAACTTTACAAAAAAAAAATCCCAACGTAAATTGAGGAAAATTATAATAAACCTATCATAAACTTGCGCTAGTTCTATTGAGGATTAAAATTATTATTTACCTATTTTAAACTTGCCCTAGTTCTATTAAGGTCTCTACTTAGACATAATTATCCTTTTCTTCATTAATAGGTTTTGAGTCAGCAATACACTGAACTTAAGTATAAAGTTATTGCCCAGATGCTAAACTGGCATTTGCTCTGTTATTTAGGAATTGGAAATTAATTATAGTCATCTAAGACTCATAAAACTAACATTGCTATGTAATTACGAATTATTAAATGATTACAAATGTCTGAAAATTTATCCTTGTGAATCAGTTAATGTCAACAAATTTAAAACACAAAGAGTTCTGCCTTTTTTTCAGGGACAAATATAGAGTCTTTAAAAATTGAACATTAAGTACTTTCTACAGAGAGAAAAAATGTATTTTAATAACTTGAAGGAAATTATTTACACAAATTGGAATAATAAAATTTCTCATTTCTATATTACAAAACAAATAAAAAATCCCGAAAAATATTTTATGAAATTATCTTAAAAAAAAAAACCGAATTGTTGATTTTGGTGATATAATTTATCTAACATGGTGGTTAATAGCGTTCTATTAACTGTGATAGTCATTTTTGTCTGCTACAAAATTTACCATGTAAAGTAGATTTTATGACCTTGCCAATTATACGAGGCCGCGCTACTCCTCGTCAATGGTATCCGCTCGGGTCCTCTCGTACCAATGTTGAAATTAATATTGAAACTATGTGTGCACGAGAAGTAGAAATAATGTTAAAAAATGTACATGAATAAAAAGACGTTCTAGGAAAATGGAGACAGCTGTCACTATAATAGATAACTTAATTTATATCTGTAAGCTACGATAAACCATTGCTAACAAAAAAACGATTCTGACAAAGCATCACTATTATGTAATACAATAATAAAATAAATCAATAGGCATTATTTTTATTTTTAATTTATTCTGAGCGTAGCGAAAAATGTATTGGTTTTATTAAGATGTTTATTTTTTTTTATCCTGTGTATAAAATTTTACTATAAATCTTGCTCAGATATATACGAGTGGCACCATTTTTATATTTTTATAAGGAAATGTTTTCCAGATAGTACTTTTGGGAGATCATTTTTTGAATTTCCTCGTGGTTTTCGTAATATTTGGGAAAAACTAGGATAAAACGTAAGAAAAACGGTAAATGTACAAAATTAGTGCTTTTATTATTTTATAAATTATGTTATTCGTTGTAATTCAGTTAAAAATATTCATAGAGATTTGAAATTTGGATGGAAAACTTATATTTTCAAATTAAAATTTTCAAAAAATTTGGACCATTTTTGAGCTATTTATAGACATTTTATTCGATAGGCAAAATTGTAAAAATTAATGGAATTTTGACTAACAAATCCAATTTTTCAATTATTTTTTTTTGTTCGCATATATGTGTATTGCCGATTTAAGAAGGATGGTAAAATCAGGATTAAGCGGAAGTTTTTGCAGATATTACATGTTTGTGTAAGATAACTCTATATTGCCACATTTTTGTCCATTTGTTGTAGTCTCAAAGATAAGATGCTATTAACTGAATTACAACTAATAATAAAATTGAAAAATAAAAACATAAAACATTATGAAAATATTATTCTCGTAAATTTCCCGTTTTTCTAACGTTTCATTCACAGAAAATAATCACACAATTTAACTTTTTGAATTTATTTAAAACTACTGTTGTAAAATCTACGAATAATTGTAATCGTGCGCTCTCGGGTAAAACGGGTGGCCCTCGGAGTCGACGCTGGAACCAAATCGGTCGACCGGTGTCAGTTCGCCGGGCAACGGGTCGCGGAAGTTGCCGGGCGGCTTGTAACTCCGCTTGTACACGGTGCAATCGTCGATGGGTTCGTCGGGCCGGCAATACGGCAAGCATTCGGTCGACCTGTACAGCGTCAGCAGGTCCCACGGCACATAACTGGCGCTGGTCTCCGTGACGGCAGCCATGCGTTCGTCGCGGGCCATCCAGTGGGTAGCGGTGGCCGGCCGCGCCGACTCCTGCGGGCGCACTAGGTCCTTCACGCTGAATGTGTCCGTCGTGGTGGTCACGCTGGCCATCTGACACCGGACGTCCCCGCCGCCACCGGTACTACAGCCGTCCTGTAAGTCGATGGCCGGATCGGAGGCCCGGTACCGCACGGGCACCGGCACACTTTTCTTCACATAATCGTGTCGCTGCGACGTGACCGCTTTTATGGGCTGCTCGCAATTGCCGATCTCATGGTCGCCTTGGATCACAGGTGGCGGCCGCTGGTCACACGGCCACTCCGGGAAACTCGCCCGTTGTATCGTCACGTTGGCGATCCCTTCGCCGTTCTGGGCCATCGGCCAAAAATTTTGTACCGGCTTCACGGCTGACCTCCTGTGTGGAGCTTCCGGTGGTTTGAATGATTGCCTGTGTGTAAACCGGGTTTTTTTTTAATCATTCGAACGAAAACCTATTCCGAGCGGTCGAGTTCGGTTGACAACGGAACCAGTTCGATAGATTTAAACTAATGAAAATCAATTAATTACAAAAATTATTTTTTTACGTGCTGATGTTCCCGATTTTCGACCTGGTATTTTTTTACCATTATAAATAAAAACTACAAGGAAAAATCGTAAAACGCACTCTTCGAATATAGATTCAAAACACTATACGGAACAGTCGATAACCGGAATAACATTTTCGGCAGAACAGTCGTTGACAGGCAGGAAAAAAATAAAGCACACGTCTAAGGAGTCACCTAAAATTTACTTATCGTAGAGCCCACGGGACATGTACAACGTTATCCAATGTTAATCTCCCACGAAATGTATCAATTACACCAAAACGTGAATTTTTCTTAATAATTTTTGGCGAAACGACACTGCGAGTAAACCGGAAACAGGTATTGATACTTAACTGGATAATATTATGCCCGGTGTACCACAATTTCTTTTATGAATATTTGCGCACTTTTTCAACTCACGAACGGTTAAGGACATAATGTTAGGTGAACAATAAATAAAAACAGGCTAGATGGATCCACTTTGGTACACACGTAAAAACAAAGTTATTTTAGAAGATAAAATTGTTGAAGACTTTGCGGAAAGAAAAGGCACCAAGAAAATTTCAAACGCTTTTAGATACAAACGCGAAACAGTTATTATGTACATTAATCAAGGAACCAGTGGCGTAATTTCACCATGTTTAAAGGGAGGTTAGGGGGAGGAGAACGAAATGTTTGTACATTTTATCTACTGCCCCTCGGGCAACAAAAATGTATTTTTTATCATACAAGCACCTCTCTCAATACAAATATTATACAATGGTTGCATTGTGATCTGTATACATTGAAATAAATAATAATATTATATTCAAATGTTTACATTAATTTTAACATTTAAACTTCAATTTTATTGGTACCTATAGAATATACAGTTCCATCACAAATCGCAATAGAAGATACGGCCTATGCAACTTTAATCCTAAATCATTAAGTACTTCTTCGGGGTCAATTTTAACATTTTTACCAATAGCTTACCATAGGAACACCGTTTTATTCAATTCTTCGGAATAAAAACGTAGAAAATTATATTTACATTTAATCTCCACCACAGAACATTTATGAAAAATATCGATATTTTAATTAAGGTTCAAACTTTAGATGTTGTGTTTCTTTAATATGTTTTGGCGATGAAGTTGACACTGGTAAATAAGTGCATAGTACTTTTAGGATGAGATATTTATATCGGGATGTCTTTATTACAAAATATCTAGTGCCTCGAGTCTCGTTCTTCGGTAATTTTTCAGATCAATTATGGAACACAATCACGTGTTTTTCAATTCCTAGTCTCTAATATAAATATAATTGAATACATTTGCATTGTATAAAATAGTTTTTTGGCATAAACCGGGCATGGGTATTGGGTTTTTTTTTGTTTTTTATTTCTATACAGTTACCATAGTATCTCTAAATATTAAATAATAATAGAATAATTAATACATAAATGTGTTTGGAAATTTTAAAAAAAAAAAGGCCATGGGACCTGCCTGGGGGGAATATGACACCCAATTTCCTCATCCCCATAATTACGCCACTGAAAGTAACAAACAAGTCGACAGGTTACAAATAGTAGGTATATAGTAATTAATTTGTATATATTATTATTGATTTATGTAGGAAATAAGCCCATAAAGAAACAATACGTTGCATACCGATCCGTTTTACCCGGCCGAATGCGACGTGAAAATACTCATGAATGATATTACACATTTCGACTTACCTGTAAATGGAATTCTTTTCCACGGCTTCAGTTCTCTTCTCCAACATGGTCGTCGGTCGTTTCATCCGCTGTTTTTCCGGCTGCACGTAAATCTTGACACGCGGTTCGCCGCACTCGTCCATGACCTTTTCGCATCCGTCATCCTCTTTGTCCCTCATGGTTCTTCAGGCTTTTCTTTTCTCACTCATTTTTAATAGGCATTAATTATATTTGTTTTTCCTACGCGTGTTGGTCATCTCGGACAGCGTATACAACCGTTTTATGCACTATCGCTACGCGACCGGCCGTTTCTGATCGGCCAATTTCGAATATTTTTATTTATTTATTTTTTTGGCCGAGACAACATCTGTTATTATTTAATAACACGTATTTACCAAAAATTATAATACAGTTATTTCAGAAAAAATATCAACTATTTTAAATTGATTTCACATCCTATGGAATATCTTTGGCGTTATAATATTTGTTAGACCTTATATCAATTCTAAATCATAAACACCGCCCCAAAAGCCTTGCAGTTGTAACATTGGATCGAACACCGGCCTTAAAAACGCCACCGCCAGGCTCAGTTTCATAAATAATATAACACGAGTATCTACATACAGGGCTGTCCAAAGGGGGGGCAACGGGATCATTTTGCCCCGGTTTATATTTAACTCATGACAGAATTATTCGAATATCACCGCTGTAAACGCGGTATCCCTTTCTGTGATTATTCGTTCGGGCCTGCCATACGTGCATAGAAACTCACACATGTAATACACAGTCTCAATAGCCGTTACGTCTTTCACGGCGCGCAGCACGACATACTTGCTAAAACCGTCTACTATCGTAAGAATATATTTATTGTCTTTCTCAGTCAACACGAAATGTCCCACATAGTCGAGATGTATCACCTGAAATGGTTCACTGTTTTTATCCAAAGGGTGCCAGTACAATTCACCTTTTCTTGGTATTTTATAAAACGTACAGTTTACGCATCTATTAACATACTTCGTCACAAATTCTCTCATTTTGGGGAAATAAAAATTTTATTTTATTTTAGACAGTGTCTTATCTATTTCGAGATGTACTAATTCCCGATGAATATTGCTAACAACATCATACCTGAGGTCAGCCGGTAAATACAACCTCCACCTCCTCTCCGTTATTCTGTATAATCTACTATTTTCAATCACGTATTTATCTCTCGTGGTAGGGTCATTTGTCTCCACTTTCGCAATCGTCCTCGCCACTTTCTCGTCATCTTTTTTTAATGCTGCTACCCAGTCGGTTGTTATTTTTAATCCAAAGTTTAAATACATTTAAACTAGCTACCTCCAACGGTTGTTCCGACTCTACAGGGCTCCTACTTAAGGCGTCAGCAATTAAGTTTCGATCACCTTTCAAATGTTCTATTTTATATTGGTACTCCGATATTTTCAGAAACCACCTATCTATCCTAGGATTTAAATCTCGCTTATCTGCTAAAGTTTTAAACTGTTACAATCGATTTTATTGCGAAACAAATACCTATTAAATACACGCGAAATCGTTCAAATCACTTTCGCCAACGCGTCTAGTTCATATGAATGATACCTCGCCTCATCATTGGTCATTTTTCTACTAAAATAGCTTATTGGGTGCATTTTCCCGTCCTCAGTTTGTCGTTGCATTAATACCATGTTGGCTTGCGTTGGTGTGCATCTCCGTATACGCATTCGGTTCATACATCGCTAGAATAGGTCGACTAGTAAGGGCTTTTTTTAATAGTTTAAACGCTCCATCTCGCTCTTCTGTCCATTCGAAACGCGTATGTTTACAAAACAGGTCTGTCAACGGTCAGGCAATCACGGAAAATCCCTTAACGAAAAGCTAGTCTCATAAATCCGCGCACCGCTCGCACATTATTTGGCACAGGAAAGTTTTCCACTGCTGATATTTTTCGTCACTCCGGTACTCGAGTTTTTGCATAAAAAATCTACATTTTTCTAATTATATCGTTAAGCCTGCCTCTCTCAATGACTGTAATACTAATTTTAATTTTACGAGACCGTCCTCTACACTTTTACTCGGAATAATAATGTCATCCAAATAAGCTAAGGCGACCGAATACAATAAATTTCCTAAGGCAACAGTTATCATTCGCGAAAAAATGGCGGCGCAATTAGTTGGGCCAAATGGCATTCGTTTAAATTGAAAATGTCCGTCGGGAGTTACGAAAGAGGTTTGCGCGCGCGTATTTGTATCATTAATTGGTACCTGATAGTATCCACTAAAGAGTGAACTAGTGAAATATGCGTTACCATGCAGCCTGTCTAGTTGTTCGTCGATCCTTGGTAACAAATATTTGTCCGGCACCGTCTTCTTGTTTAGTTCGCGATAATCTACACACATGCGGACATCACCATACTTCTTCTTCACCAGCAGTATGGGGGTGGCGTATAGTGATTCACTGTCTTCCACTATGTCCGCTTCCTTTAGCTCGTCGATGATATCACGTACTTGTTCCCGTTCTTTATACGACATCCGATATGGCCTAAACACCACCGGTCGTTCTTCTCTCGGTAGACTGTCCCTCCACAATCCAGCTACTCCCGCAAGTTTTGTTAATGCGAAATGTTGAATCGCAACGTCGTCCCACTCATGTAGAAAAGCGTACTATTCCACCTTATCAATCCATTTCTCGATTGTCAGTGCGCCATTTACGGGGTCAAATTCCGGCACCACCATCGCCAAATATCATCGGTGTTGTGTTGTCGTGCCGCTATCATCACAATTATTACTCAAAGCCATCACGTTCATGCGATAAGTCCAACACTACGAGTAATTAAGTATATATATAGCAAGAACAACAACTCGCTCCGTCGAGCCACTCGCTGATAACGGCTATATCGAACACGTCGTCAGACGGCCCCAGCTAATTTTAGCCTGGCCTGGCCTTCGCACACACAGTACGAAATATCACGACTAGCGAAAATATTACGTCAATATTATTCGCCCAAAAACCGCACTCGCATAATACTATAACGCTTTGGATATAAAAAAAAAAAAAAAACGAACCGAGTCGAGTATAACGCCCACACGCGACCGATTTACCGAACACTTTCCGTGTTAATCCCACACCTGAACTGTAGAGCAAGGCAAATAAAGGGTTATTTGCTCTTGATCCGGAGCGTGAAATGATAATAAAGTACATAAACGAAAAAAAAAATATAGGTATCAATAAATTCATTTATTCCACGAGTCACGGAAAAGCGCATACAAAAGTGGTAAAACGGTAATAATGCGTCGTCGGCACACATACGACCACGGTCAGAGGTTGCGACAATACAAAACTATAAGTTCGTGCGAAAACCACGCCATTCGTCGGGGCCCGCGTTTTATCGGAAATTGCCAATTACTATCGTTATCTGACAGGACGGAAGACGGATAGGCACTCACGACGAAATTATTTACAAACAATATTATAGGTATATAATACAAATAAATAAAAAAAATATATTATACAAAATAAATTACCTCATAATTATTATCTTCAGTTAAATTCAAGGGGTATATCTTCCTGAGACAGCCTGTATATTAAAGTTATCATCGGGACATAATGTCATTCCTCATGATATTAAATAATGGAACAGAACAAAAGCCAGTTTAGCATCTGCATAAAGCTTAATTCTAAACTTACAGTAACAGCTGATGAAAAACTAATTAATGAAAGAATGGAGAATTGTGTCTCTACAGTTTGAAATAAACATAGGAAATTTTCCGCAATTTCAAAAATAAAAAAAACCCAACGCAAATTGAAGAAAATTTTTTTAAACCTATCATTAACTTGCTCTAGTTCTATAAAGGTCTTAACTAAGAAATAATTATCCTTTTCTTTATTTATAGGTGTTGTATCAGCAATAACCTAAACTTAAGGATTAAGTTTTTGTCCAGATGCTAAACTGGCCTTTGCTCTGTTATGTTTTTCGCTGTCAGAAGGGAACTGAGGACAAGAAACCAAAATCAATATGTTTATATGATCTTCTGGAACAGTTGAAAGGGGTCCTTTCAATTACTCTTACAGATTACAGACCTGTCAATATTAGACCGTGTTATCCTAATGTCATTCTTCGTGATATTAAATAATGCAACAGAGCAAACCCGAGTTTAGCATCTGCGCTAAAGCTTAATTCTAACTGTACAGTAGGCGCTGATGGAAAACTAATTTATGAAATAATGGAGAATTGTGTCTCTACAGTTTGTCATAAACATAGCTACCGAATGTTTTCCTTAATTTCAAAAAAAAAAAAAAACCCAACGTAAATTGAAGAAAATTATTGTAAACCTATCATAAACTTATCAGGAGATAAGATTCTATTTGTGAAGATTATTTAGTGCAGAAACTTGTGTCATCTCAACATTAGTTAGAATAATTGTTGAATAATACTGTAGATATGTAGTAGTAGTATTACGAGTAGTTACTATAAATTGTTTAAGAAGCGAATTAAGATCAGTTATTTTGGAGGCCTATTTAGAAAAGTCTGTGTGTGAAAATTTAGTGAGTGACCCCTATGAGTCATTAGAAAAGGTATTATATTCAGCATACAATTAACCTTATTTGATTATCAATAAACTGATTGTTATTCATCTGTTAAGTAAGAAATATAAAAATAAAACATTGTCAAGTTTTTGGTTATTATCATATTTTTTTATTTTTTATTCATTGAACTATCTTATTTTATTCATTTTGCATTAAAGAATTATAATTTAAGTAACCGAATATAATTATTGCATTATATAAAAAAAAAAAAAATGTAATCAACATTAACATTGAGTTAAGAAAACTATTGTTGTATAACAACTAACTAATTATGCATGTGTAATAATCACAACAATAATATGTGACGGGAAGAATAGATTTAAATCAACAGACTTTTATTAATAGAAATAATATCGCTTTTCAGCAACAATAATATTGTATAATAATCTTGGCATTCCACGTATATAATTAACTAATCACAAATAATAAATGGCTTATGTTTATTAATTAATTATGTATCTGTAATCACTTTTATTAATCAACTTATTATGTATAATAACCATTTTGTCTTGTATTCAACATTATTATCATTAGCATTTCGTAAACTTAAATTTATTTTAATAATTGTAAGCTAGTTCAAATGTATCAGTGTGTTCAAAAGTTCTGTCTTGAGAGTCATATATCTGTTTCTCAGTAAGGGAAAAAGGAGATGTTACATGGTGTTCTATTTTTAATGATTTTAAATAAATATTTGGTCTTTGAATAATTTTGTAATTTATTTTATTAGTTATTATTATTAAATATTTTTAAACGTTATTAATAACTATTTTACTGTTCATTATTGAAGTTAAAATTATTTAATGTGCCCATTTCCTCACTGTTCTCTTTTTTGAGTACGTTACATAATTAAGAACACTAAAAACATAACTTTGATCTTTAATCTTTAATCTTAATTTGTGATATAAACATACATTTATTAGAGCTCACATTACCAACATTTTATTATTTAGGTACCTTAAGTAATTAAAAATGTAATCAATATTGTAATTTTATGCTCACATAACATAATACGAGGGTTGTCCCAAAAGTAATGCAAAATTTGCTCTGAATAAATAAGTTTTTATTTTAAACTAAATACAATATTATAGACCTTCGATATAATCTCCCTGCTTGTCTATACACGATTGCCATCGTTTCGGGAGCGCTTGAATGCCGCATAGGACGCCATCTTTGTTGAGTTCACGGATCCTTCGGCTCACTTCTTCATTTAGTATATCTAAGTTGGGAAAACGGATCCCTCTAAGTGGTTCCTCAGTTTTGGAAATAAATCAAAGTCCGGGGGACTTAAATCCGGCGAATACGGTGGGTGTTTGAGGCGTTCCCATCCATATTTCTCCAAAAGAGCGATGACTGGTGCTCCGATATGCGGCCGCGCATTATCGTGCAATATGGACACACCATTTTGTAACATTCCTGGTCGCAATTTTTTGGCAAGGAATGTTTTGTAGTAATCCCCGGTTACACTACTGCCAATTGGAACTCGATCAGTGACAATTATCCCAAGTTTATCGTAAGCAAAAATCATCATTTGTTTCACCTTTGTTTGCTGGTGACGAACTTTTTTTGCTCTTGGTGATGTTATTCCCTTCCAAATATTGCTTTGAGATTTTAATTCCGGCTCAAAATCACGGATCCAAGTCTCATCTATTGCAATTATATGATCAAGAAACGTTTCTTTTTCATTTTCGTAGCGAGAAAGGAGTTCACGGCAGATGTCTTCGCGTGTATCCTTCTGTTCCGGTGACAGAAAATGAGGCACCCAACGTGCTGCAATCTTTCGTTTCTGTAGAATTTCCGTTAAAATGCGGTGAACACTTGATTTTGAAATACCTGTTTCATTCTCTATCTCTCTCACCGTTATTCGTCGGTCTTCATCGAGTAGAGTTGCGAGAATAGCCGCGTTAGTGTTGTCTTGAATAACCGTAGAGGGTCGGCCAGAGCGAGGGTTGTTATCAATACTTATACGACCATCACGGAATCGCTGATGCTATCTTTGCACCGTACTATGATCCACAGTATCCGTTCCACACACTTCATTTAACGAGGCATGAATTTCAGGCACTGTTTTACCACGAATCGTTTCGATTTTAATGTATGCGCGTTGCTCAAAAACAGAAATGTGAGCCGACGAATTGTTCTCACTTTCGTTATCGCTCTCACACATCATCATACTTTACTAAAACAACTAAAACTGAAAACGCACGTGTTCGTTAGACTTCAAGCTACAAACTAATACTAAAATCAGCTGTTAATATCACATTGCAAGACAGCTAGAGCGCGCTNTAAATCTAACGGATCGTTCGCTATTCGAGAGGGATGCAAGCTTATCTACAAGCAAAATAATTTAAATATGTGTCAAATATAACAGAACTGCATGCCATCTGCTGCGGCCCTTTGAAGATACTGCCACCTCAGTCATACTATTGTATATTGTTTTCTTTTCACAATTCGAGTATTAATTATTTTATATCAACATTGACGTGATTGCCGTCTGTTCCATCTTTTTAAGCATACAAATTCCAGTGGTTTTCTATAATTCGAGAAAAATCAATATCCAATCAATTACCTTCATTTAGAACATTCAAATATAAGTCAAATAAAGTTAAGCAATAGATACACAAAATCAATTGGCTCTTGATGATACCGCCGTGCCGTCATCATTCTTTCGCACTATATACCATTACAATTATTTCAATACAAATTTTGAATCAACGCATAACACTATTTTTTTTTATGGTTGACCTTTTTTTTGGCTTATTTAAATACATAAAATTTAACGGTTTTTTTCTAATTGAAAATGGAGCGTCTTGATCCCTCTAGAAACCCCAAGACGAACACTCTGTCGAGAATCCTGCACACAGCAACAGCTACGCTCCACCAACTTCTTTCGAGGATCTCTCTCGAATAGCTAGCTCCGACTTTTAGCAGCTATAATCACTCGTGTTCGATTTATTTATTAACTCACTTTGTAATTCAATCTTTTATTTTCCTAATTTAAAAATTAGCATTTTTTATCTAAGTGCACACAGGTGTTAAGTGTTAATTAATTTAATTAATTTATCTTAATTAAATTGTGATTGCCGTCCAATGACTCCAGGTTCACGTGAGATTATCCATAAGTATACACCCTAGCGTTCCAACACCGTGGGCAGGTAATATAATTATATTTTTCTTTAGTTATTCATTTCGTCACCATTCTCGGATTCACGACTCCGAATCCCTTTCAAACATAGGAAGGAAGGTAGTAATATAACTAGTAGGCTGAACTTTTATTATGATTAGAGATAAATCATTCTTTGTAGTACCAAAACTTAGATCGATTGTTTCACACTATATAGGCACATTTTTATACTTACTCCTTTATATTTCATTCTTTGTAGGTATTTCTACGTGATTATCCTATAATTTCAAATATATTTGTCTTCTATTTCTATACTTAGTGTCCTAAGTCTACTACTATCCCCTAACCACAACTCTCTTTATATTTTCCCCCGTTTAAACCTCTTTTAACTCTCCTCTTATTTGTCCCCCATCCCCTTCTTATTTACTTTCCTATTTTTTGTATTACTACAATTTGTACACATTCCTACAAGACCGAAATCTAATAGATCTATAAATAAAATATTTATAAGAGGCACACATAACCATTAAAATATAAAAATAACAATTATAAATGCATTAAAAACGACCATTATCCATTTTTCATATAACTTTCCAACACTAATACGAATCAATTATTAAAACTAAAATGGTATGCAATTGTATGTCTTTGGGGTTGTATGTATGCATTATGTAAATAGAAACTCATAGTGCCTAATCGGGATCGCCTATGAAAAGTATGACCTGTGTGTACGTGTTATGTGTATATGAGAATCTGTATACAAGGTGATTTTTATTATTATGAACCAGCAATTATCTCACGAGGATTTTAATTGAATTTGATTTCTGTTTTTTCTAATCATTATGGAATCGTTTAAACTTTATTTTAAAACCACTTTTAATTTTTCACTTCTATTCCAAATACCTTAAATAAGTGCATACTTTATGGGGTTCCTATTTAAAACCAAAGTATGCACTTAATTCCACTACTTCCTGGAAAGGATCGTGCTGTTTATGCCTGAGGAATAATTCACTTGGTGTCACTCCCGTGGCCTCATGCACTGTATTATTAAGCATCCACTTTATGCATACCACATATGTCAGCCAAGCTAAGTGGTGTTCTGATCAAAACGTCCTAAACAGCCTCCCTAGTTCACACATGATCCGTTCCCCGGGGTTAGATTCTGGATGATAAATGGAGGTTAACGTGGCAGGGATCCCCCAGGTAGCTAATCTGTTTTGCCAAATCTTGCTATTGAACTGTACACCGTGATCAGACTTCAGCATTTTCGGTTGGCCGTAGGTGGGAACGGCAGTAGCTTTTTTCAACGGATATAGCTTAACATATCTGGATAAATTGTCTAGTACAACCAAAATTCAAGTTTAGCAATCGGCTGGCGAAATTCTTCGCTGATCATTTAAAATAATTCAGCGCCATTGCCCAATTTGGATACATCAGTCTGAATACAAAATGGTATACTAAAGTCAAGGTGTGACAAAACATGCTTTCCCAATGTTGTTTTCACCAAATCAAATTAGGTGCGATTTTCCTCATTAAATCTCGGCGACTCAGTGTAGCCACTGTTGTAGTTGTATAATGAGAAAGGTGGGATACATTAAGTTATTTAATTTATATCTGTAACCAACGATGAGCCATTGATAACGAAAAACAATTTGGAGAGAAGTTCGGTTATACTAGTTTTGAAAGGCCATAATATTTACGATTTTCTTCAAAATTCAATATTAAAATTCCTTTATAAAAAAATGACTACAAGAAGTTAAAATTTATTTTTACCACCAAGTATTACACCATTTAGGGAACCCCTTGTTAAATTTTCAAATATTTCTGTTAGTCTAACAATTTTATCTACAGAGTACCTACCGAATAAATATTATGTACAAAACTTGCAAAAATTAAAATGTATCTAATTAGTTCAAAAATGGATCAAATGTTTTGGAAATTTTACCACGTATATACAAAGAAAATATGATTTTTCTGTAAAATATCAAGTCTTTATGAATACATTGAATTAAATAACATTAAAAAAAAAAAAAAAAAACAAAATTTAAAATAATAAAATATTTAATTTCGTACATTTTCCTGTACTTTCTGCATCTTTTGGTGGTTTCACTCAATTATTAAAAAAACTAGAAAGAAAATAAAAAAATGACTTTCTTGTTCACCCATTAGATTACAAATACAACAAAAAAGATATCTTGATGTTTTTTTTTTTTATTGGAGCAATATTTATGGTATAAAAGAAGTCTTAAAAATTTGAAATTATGAAATCGTTGTTCCATAAATTGGAAAAAATCGTATATTTCGTCTTTTTTGGTTTTTCTCAATTATTATGAAAAATACTTTAGATATCAAAAACAACTTATACTTTTAATGTCAAAATATTATAAGAAACAAAATTGATCTATTGTCATATTTGGATTGAAGTAATATTTCTAGTAGAAAACGTCGTGTTCACATAATAAAAATAATGAAAACGGTAACGCCGCGGCGTGTCGTAAATATTTACCTTTTTACTTCTATTTATCTTTCGGATTTTTCCCAATTACTTTGGAAACCCCTCGAAAAATGATGTCTTCGACTCACCAATGGTAGAAAATTATCTTTCAAAAAAGGTAGTACAGGTTATACTTCTGAGTAAGTTTTCTGATAGTAGAAAAGTTGTTCGCAGACAGAAAAACAAAAAAAAAAAATAAAAACGCACAAGACATACTACGCTCCGAGTCTAATCCATCAATTATCTTCGATATTAAATGAAACACATTTTTATATACAAATTATTTTTCCATTATCATTATTAAAAAAAAACTTTTGTCTTCAAATCCGAACCCTACTTATTAGTTAGTTCCATTAATATTATTGATGGAAGTATTTTAATTTTATACGTCATTGATTTAATTACAAACTTAATATAATAATTGAAATTTCACAGTTTTTGGAAGAAAAATGTATCCCACAGGAGGGGCGTCTGCCCACCCTGATCCTCCCTCCTTGCACAGGCCTATGGTTCTATCTAGAGTGCTTATACATTTTAGTGATAATTTTAAAAAAGAATTAGATCGTTTGGTATCAGAAAAAATAACCTCGGTAGTTCCTGAACCGGTCAAACTGGTACATAGATTAGTTATCGTTGAAATTAAAAATAAAAATATAAGATTATGCTTCGATATGCATGATTTAAATGAAAATTTTAGAGAATATTGTGTAATACCCATGTTATCTGATTTATCGGTAAAATTGAAGAATGCTAAAATATTTTCGATATTTGACTTAAAGATGGGCTTTGACAAATCAAATTAGTCAACAGAAGTTTAAGATTATGTACGTTTGGTTCAATGTTTCAACATATTGTTGTTTTAATATACTTCCATTTGGTGTGAATATTGCGGCTAAGATATGTCAAAAAGTTAATATGAATATTTTTGATAGTATTGAAAACGCATTTGTATATCTTATTGATAAATTAATTTTTGGTGAAACAGAGATTCAACATGATATTTCTTTACGGCAAGTATTACATGTTGCAATGAAGAATAACATAAAAATTACCAAAGCGAAATTACAATTTTAAGTTGTCAAAGTCAAGTATTCGGGTCATATTTTTCTAGTGAGGGTATAATGATGGACGATGAAGGAGTTAGCTCTATTTGTGCTTATAAAATCCCTAAAAGCGTCAAAGATTTGCAACGTTTTTTAGACATAGTGAATTATGTAGGTAACTTAATTCCGAATTAAGCTATAATAACAAAACCGCTGAGAGACCTTCTAAAAAAGAATAATGAGTTTGTTTGGACATCGGTACATTTTGCATGCGTAACTTAAATCGATTATACTCATTATATTAATGAGAATTTCCAAAAATAAATTCTTTAAAGTACCACTCAGGGAACAATTCCTTTCAGTAAAGGTACTATACTTGATAATTGCAGAATGTTTTCTGGAAGAAAAAGTGTTCACATAAAAAAAAAAAAAAAAAAATTAACATCATTGTATAACCAATACATTCTTCGTTCCACTTAAAACCTAAACTCAAAAAATGTAATAAAAACTTTACTTACCGATAAATTATCTTACTTTACTTTACTGAAGTAATAATACCGATTAAATGAAATTAATATTTAGAAAATAGTTATAAAAATTCTATAATTTTGTCTTCAAAGTGTTGTCATGAAACAATTTTAAATTGGTGTTTTATTATTCAAAATTTCTAAAACCTATTTCAATGGCTTTTCGTGTGTTTCACGTGAATACAATTTGTCTATATTGTCAGTTAGAAAAAAAGCTAATAGACGACTAATAACTTTTTTTTTTTTTTAATTTTAACTTTTTGCTATGAATCTCGTATGCAAAAATATCGTATGAATAGACACAGTGAACAATAAATGACACTTTATTTTTCTACTAGGTGTGAAATATTATTACTAAACAAAACAGTATTTAATAATAAGTTTTACAATTATAAAGGTACCAATTCTAAAGATAAAAATAAAAGACATTGTTTAAATGATATTTTAATTGAATATAATATTAATGGAATAGATAATAAACATAACAAATTTAAATAATTTGTTATAATAAAGAATAATATAATAGGTAATAAGTAAAGGTATAATGTGCAGTGTGCATTTATAAAAAAAAAAAATAAACAAAACAATAAATTATAATAATATTAAAATTATAAAAAATAAGTGTTAGTATAAGATGGGGGCAAGTGAGCGACAATAATAATATAGAATTAATAATATTTTCATTTCAATCGAAAATGTGCTGTATTTATATATACCTATTCGTAATAATTCTTTACAAATTCTATACTTAATAATAATTCTTAATTAAAGAATCTAAAGATAACATAAATGATATATGTCTTATTCACATTAGTGATGTTGAACTTGATACAGAACCATTACACTTACAAGACGACGACTACATTGCAAATACTAATTCATTACCACCATTATCTGAAGAAGTAATTATTTATAAAGCTGGATTTATTGCACATCAGTTAGAGAGTAAAATCAAAAGTTGCATTTGTGTTAATACACTTTTTGAATAAAAAATAAATGTTTTAAATTCCTTAGCTAATTCGTCATACTTAAGTTCTGATCTAATTAAACTTTGATTGCATATTGAAAAAAATATAAAAAGTTACCAATTTGGCCACAAACCAATCAACAAAATGTTAATAGTAAATAAAACTTTAAATTTCCTTGTGTTTAATTTCAAAATATTCGATTCAATTAAATTTTAAAATTTTGAATATGAACCTAAAGCTAATCATGTAATATTATTTATACAATTCATAATTTTTTCATATTTTACTCTACAGATGTATTATTTATATAAACAAATTTCTGAAGCAGAATCATTGAGAAATTGGTATAACAAAATTGTGCTATTCAAAGGAAAGTAATTATGTTTATATTCATTTTTTTTTTTATTAGTGTGTCATCAACATTGGTATAAGCAGGTATACATAAAAATTAAATAGCTGTTAAACTATAAATTTGTATTTTTATTATTAATATTATTATTTAATAATTAATTATTTTTAATTTTACTGATTACAATTGTTATTATATTATTTCTTATTTAAATATTTAAATATTCTTATAAAACTGTTTGAAAAAAAAATAAATATTAGGTATTATTATAATAAAATAAAAATATCTATTTACCATAAGTTTTATATAATATGATAAATGTATTATAATACATTAATACTTCATTATTCATTATCATTATTATTATATTATATAAATATCACAATATTTGTGTAGGTACACAATAATTATATGCACATTAATATTACTCTATAATATTAATTACTTTGATGTGAAATTGATACAATATGTTTTTAATCGTTATAGTGGCAATACTGAAGTTACACTGCTGCATTTTTTTTTAAATTCATGGACCACCTCTTGCAGAATAACCTCTTTAAAATAAAACTCCAAAAAAGTGACTCTAGCTCTTTTTCCATGAACTAAAACTATGATCCCTGTCTCTCTGTGCCTCTTTATGGAATAAATGTATTATATCAATGTATAAAAGTAAATTGTATAAGTGTCGGACTGTGATGGACATAAGTGGGAATTATCGGATCATTATACAAATATTGTAATGTATCTATTGTATTGTGCAACGGATTTCCTAAAAAAATATATCAAATATCTTAACTGTAGTAAAATTTTTTTTCAGGATAAAATTTCAAAATAACAATAATATATAGAGCATGGCTAATCATCTGAAAGTTTTGCCTATCATCATCCAGAAATGTTTTTGTAGTCACAAAATAATAATTATATTGAATTTTGCGAATGCGATTTTAGAAAATTGAAGTAAAATATACTATAATATTACGATATCATGAAAATAAAAATAAAAATAATTATAATGTTAATTAAAACATTAAATTTTTTAAATGCCTAATATAATATTATATAGTAAGTATATTGCATAATATGCAATTTTGTAGGGATAATATATGCTATTAAGGACAGTATAGAGATAATATTAAAATATCAAGTTTCAACTATGGTTCTACCAAGATTTTATTAGCTTAATTTTGTTTAATTTAGATGTGAGACAAACGAGACCAATTATATTTAAACATGGTTTAACTTAATGAAACTTAACTGAATTTTCAAAACATGTTAGCGCATTGATAACTAGATCCTATGAGTACTTGGTTAAAATTTCAAATCACATTTTTAGCCACGTTCCTCTATATATTTTTGGAACTTTGAATGATACAACTATAATCATGGGTTTTTTTTAGTTATTTAATTAAATAAAACTTATATTTTAGTTTTTAACTTTACATTATACTAGGTATATAACTGAAAAAAATGAATTTCAGTTTTATTTTATGATATAATTAGCTAGCTAGCTAAATAATATGTAGATAATTCACGTAATATATGTTTTGATATAATGTACGAGTTGTGTTCCAAAAGTCCCAGAACTGTTTGAGTTGTGCACCAATGGACCGTCGAAAAGTAGAAGGATTGATTTTACTGGCTTTTATGCTTCTGAACTCATAGTATATATATGTTTTTGTAGATTCTAAATAACCTTCTTCGTTTTGATGTAACCGATGATTTTGTAAAATACGTTTTCGTGTTTGGCGATTTTTTAATGAATTTTGAAAAAAAGAAACTTGACGAGCTTTTTTTGGGGAAGAGGGGGGCGCTTGAGATAATTTTTTATTCGCTGCAAATTTGAATGATAGAACCTTAGTTGGCAGAGAAATACAAACTTCCACATGGTTCATGACAGCAAAGTTTTTCACGAGCATGTTAATGAAATTTCGAGTGTCAAAAACAAAACCAAGTTCAGATTTGTGAGGAACATTTAAGCATGGTAAATACTAAATGACAATAATTACTTTTTTGAGATGGTATAATAATAATAAACCATACCCTTAGTCGTGAAAATGGAAGGTTTATTCCTCTTCAATGTTGAAAGAAATGCCAATAAAATTCGGTTAAGATGCTCTTCTTTAGAATTCATTAAAATTCGCCAACCACAAAATACGTATTTTACAAAATCACCGGTAACATCAAAACGAAGAAGGATATAGAGAGATACACAACTTACGTGATCAGAAGTTACAGAATTCAGTATTACCAAATCCTACTAATTTTCGGCGCTCTCTCTGCGCGCAATTCAAATAGTCCGAGAACTTTTTGAACATTTCTCGTATAAATCATTCTAAAGTATATACCTAAGTATATATTTTTTTACCTACTTTTCTCATCATTTATTACATAATAATGTTATTGTTATTAGGTACATACGAATAATGTTAATAACTTAACTTAAACTATAAACCAATACCATACTCGACTTTAGATTGAAGTAGGTATATAGTTTGCTTATAAAATAACTATAAAATAATTTAGAATAGTTTTACGCTGCAGTTTACTTACGATTACTGAAAATCTGTATACTTATATTAATGTTAATTCCTTATTTACAACTAATTACTAACTATAACGAATTATAGGTAAATTAATACAAACCCATTTACTGTTGTAGAATAATAATTTAGAAAAAAAAAAAAACCCATCAAAGTGATAATGTTATTAATTTATATGGGTGGTATTTATAAATTCAATACGCCTAAGTATTGTGCACACTTATTTCTAGGATATTTTTATTTGATACAATATTCTCGCTATGAAAATTATAATAATATTAATTGTGAATATTCTTAACATGAAACATTTTATAATAAAACAAAAACTCTTATAATTCAGTGCTTGCGAAATGTATAGCATTCTCTTTTTTTTTTTTTTTGCAATGAGCATAAATATACAATTTAAAATACATTTTTTATTGTTCATTTCGATAGTTATAAAAAAAAAAAAAAATGTTTTTTTTACTGGGTTATCAAAAATATTTTTGAAATATACAATTAACGACTATAATGAAATTTTTCAATCGAATTTTTATGTTCATTATTGTTGGTTTTAAACGCCGAAACTCCCAAGCTCGGTTTATAACTTACTACTATATTGAATGATGTTCATTAGATCGTAAATTTGTATAAAATACAATTTACGCCCTATTCTATTCTGTCCATAATGTTTTGCTTTTAAAATCTCCGAAAAAAAATAATGATCCTAACACCTAAAATTGTATATGTAAATAATTAATATTTGTATAGTTATAAAACGTCGAACTCTATACATAATAATTTAATAATAAATATTTTTGTGTACTACGATGTGTACAAAATGATTATTTTTTACCATGAATCAGCAATTATCTCTGAGGATTTGAAGTGAATTTGATTTTTAATTATTATGTTTTATGCTATACTTACTTTGTAGACCTTAAAATTTAAGAAAAAGAGGAGTCATATAAAAATGGAAATGGAAATTGTATTACCTTTCCCTATTTCTTTAGTTTAAATTTTAAACTGTTATCATTCATTAATGTTCAATCTGTTATTAGTATTATGTGTGTCAAAATTTCTAAAAATATTTTCTATATTCAAATAAAGGGGGCTATCTATTTGAAAATAAAAAGCATATACCTATTTAAAGTATATGGAGTAGGAGTAGCAATTTGAAACGGTCCTAAAATAAAACTTAGCCGATTTCACAATGATTAAAAAAAAAATTTCAAATTCACTTAAAATTCTCCGAAAAAATTACTAGTTCATGATAGCAAAAAAATCACCCTCTATAACAATAATAATTGCGCCAGTCACCTATTATAAATATACAAGTGCAAGTTAGAAAAATAATTGTAGACTAATACGATTAATACTATATGAATATAATATAAAATATGATAAAAAAAGAAAAAAGTACAAATATTGAAAGAGTGCTCTGTATAACGGTATAATATTTCCGTAACGGTTATGCACATTTCGTGCTTGTCAAATTTAATGTTGTTCGGGTTGTTTGCCGCCGCTGTTCTTCAGCTTGCTTAAACGCTTTCTGACTACGAAACCACGAACACTGGCCTGTATTTTGACGGCCGCGTTCGTCCGAGATTCCATGTCGTGTTCGTCGACATCATTGTGTTCGTCGTCATCTTCATGTTCGTCGTCATCATTGTGTTCGTTGTCATCTTCATGTTCGTCGTCGTAGTCGTCGTAGTCGTTGTGGTTCAAACCGTGTTCGGAACCACGTTTACGTTCCGGGGGCAGCGCTGGTGCGACCAGGACTAGATCTTGTAGGGCGAGTGATATAGAGTCGGGGAAAAAGACGTCGTCATCGCCACTTCGTAGCGAATCGTCGTCTTCGTCGTCGAAATCATCTATATTCCCGTTATTTCGCGGGGGTATAGATGATTTTGACATTACTTGTTGTTGTTCGTTCTTCTGTATTTCGTTGCAGCCTTCGTACTTTCTCGCTAGCATTGCGGGACCACTGTAGATTACCGACACCACGGACGTTTGATCTTCGTCGGACCAACATTCACCGCAGTCATCGTCAGTCGCGGTCACCATAATGGCGTCCACGGTTGACGGTGGTGGCGATGAAGCCGTCGACGCTAACATTACTGTCGGCGCTGACATTTCTGCCGGCGCTAACATTTCTGCCGGCGCTAACATTTCTGCCGGCGCTAACATTTCTGCCGGCGCTAACATTTCCGCCAGCGCTGTTTTTTCCGCAGCTGTTAATATTTCTGTTGACGCTGAAATTTCTGCCGGCACTAACACTTCTACAGGCGCTGTCTTTTCTACAGTTGCTGATATTGGCGTTGACGATGAAATTTCTGCTGGCATTGAAATTTTTGTCGGCACCGACTCCTCCGCCGGCGCTGACTTTTCCACCGTCGTTGATATTTCTGTTGACGCTGAAATTTCTGCCGGCACTAACACTTCCGCCGGCGCTGACTTTTCTACCGTCGTTGATATTACTGTTGACGTTGACATTTCTGCCGGCGCTGACATTTCTGCCGGCGCTGACATTTCTACCGGCGCTAACACTTCCGCCGGCGCTGTATTTTCCGCAGCTGCTAATATTTCTGTTGACGCTGAAATTTCTGCCGGTACTAACACTTCCACAGGCGCTATATTTTCTGCAGTCACTGATATTGGCGTTGATGATGAAATTTCTGCTGGCATTGAAATTTTTGTCGGCACCGACTCCTCCGCCGGCACTGACTTTTCCACCGTCGTTGATATTGCTGTTGACGTTGACATTTCTGCCGGCGCTGACATTTCTACCGGCGCTGACATTTCTACCGGCACTGACTTTTCTGACATCGCCGATATTTCCGTTGACGCTGAATTTTCAGCTAGCTTTGAGATTTTCGTTGATGCGGATATTTCCAGCACGGGCTCATCCACAATCGCCGCGTTCTTCAGTGACTGTCGTACCCGGTAGCCCCTGAAACTTGCCTGTATCTTTACAGCGGCTGCGTGCCACCTCTCCATGTACTTGCGTGCTCGGAAGCCACGGTACCAGGCCTGTATGGTAGTCGCGGCCCTGTCGTTGGCTCTATCGTTGGCTTCGTCGTTGACCCCGTTGTTGGTCACGTCATCAGCCAAGTCGTTGGCCACATCACCGGCTCTGTCATTCATCATTAAAGTCGCTCGTCCTCCTGGTGCCGCTGAAGTCATTATCACAGTCGTATTTGCTGCAGTAGATTCACCAGTGGTGGACGAAGTCGTCATAATTTGCTTGCCACTCTCGCCGTCTATAACACAAAATAATTAGATTGAACAAGCAGTAACATTAGGTTAGGTCAAAACACGAATGCAGTAGCGTTTTAAGGAGTGCGAAAAAGGGTATTGACTAGTTGGGATTGGTGGCTGTTTTTGACATTTAAAAATATACCAGCCACTCTCGCGTGTGAAATAGCAACACAGAGAAAATATAAGGGAATTTAACCTAAGTAGATAATTTTAGACGCATTGCCAAAACAACATATAAAATTGTGTATCGAGGTGGACCAAAAAAATATTTTATTTGTTTAGATGTAACAATACCATCGAATTTTATTTCATGAACAAAAAAAAATGCTCAAAATTGCAAGCAGTGAATTTAAGTGTATGTATTTTATTTTTCCGCATGGTTAAAATTATCACTGAACAAAAATGTCTTGAATATAAATCATCAGAATGTAATAAAAAACAAAAAAAATCTTATAAATTATGAGAAGAAAATCAATATTGACAAAGGTAGTTTACTCGATACGTTAAAGGTTGAATTAAAAAAGAATTATACAATATGGTAATACAATTAAGGTTGGTGATTTGTCAACATGTTGTAAATGTGTACTTTCGTGGCTAGTAACTTTGTCAACATTGATTTTCTTCTTATCAACCATATGACTTTATTTGTTTGTTATTATTGCGTGAATTAAGTTTTGATGGTATTGTTATACCCGTATAATTAAAATACATATGAAGTATATCAGTAATTATTACTTATTATTAAGTAATTATCAGTGAAAATCAATTAATTGTTCGATAATTTATACTTTAATATTTTGTAAAATCTATCAGTCACTATTGCAACAAAAATAAATTATAAGTTAAACACATAGGCACCCAGAGGAAAAATAAGACCGGGCTCCCATGGATTTCAAATATAATTGTAAAAACCTAAACTTTTATTACAAATTGCACACTGTAAAAGTTATTTAGTACTTTACGATGAGTTAAAACTTTGCTTGGTTTTACAACAGGTGAAGGCCGATTAAATGAACTATGTATATAAAACGTTCATCGTGAAAAGCTCAATAGTAGAAAAGAAGAATCCATTGAAAGGTTAATTACAAGACTTTCAATAGAACAGCTGCGAATATTTACGTTTTTATTTGATAACGAATAAACATTTTTTTTTTTTTTTGTTTTATGTACTTTTTGGACTTGTTTTGTAGTTTGCAAAGAATAAACTTTTTTTTAATATACCTTTTGGTGTATAAATTTATTATGCCTGTGGGTTCTCTTTTGATAAATTTTCGGCGGGCGTCCATGATTAATACATATTTTCACCTTACCGCATTTCATAGATTTTAAAAATTGTCATTGTTTGAAGGTTTTTCTGTTTTTCTGATAAACCTCAATGGAAATGCCGATTATTATTGAAAATATCGTATTTATTTGCTTGTTGTATGTATTTATTTTTTTAATAATTTAATACTGATGATATAACCAGGTCAACAATTTAGTGCCATGACTTAGTGTCGTTTATTTTATGCCTGGTGTGATATCGTTTATTTTAGAACAAGTTGAGGGCAACTGTCGCATTATGCTCTTGATAATTTATAGGAAATTCCTATATATATATATAAAATGGTATTTTTTGAGACAACTGTAATATAAAGTGTCTTCGCTTTGCAGGAAAAACTCTCTCGGTTTCGATTTTCAACATTTTCCGAATTGGGTTTCTTGAATTATCAAATTTTCGTGAAATGCTACGCTTACGATCTGTGAATTCGAGTTCTATAGGTCACTTTAAATATAATAATTTAGAGAATTACTTATGCTCTCTGTAAAGCTGTTTTACTTAAACAGAGCATTTTTATTTTTTAATATTTTGTTTTCTATTTAGTGACATCCTAGC